GAGAGAGAGAGAGAGAGAGAGAGAGAGAGAGAGAGAGAGAGAGAGAGAGAGAGAGAGAGAGAGAGAGAGAGAGCTTACCTGGGATGAGTCGAGGGGGGATACGGCTGGCAGTTGTGTTCAATTTGGAACTGCTACGATATTCTTTGTGTTTTCAATGACAAAAGTGCGAACATGCTGTGTGATGATTGGGTGAGTGGGATCATTGCACTCTGGCCAACTTCTCATCTGGTTTTAATCCCGTTGCTTGTGTGCCCGAGATTGGTCTGGTTGAAGTGCGAGCATGCTGTGAGGGTTGGGTGAGTGGGATCATTGCGCACTTGCCACTTCAGCGCCATAACCTTTACAGACCATTCATGGGGTTTGTGGGATAACGACTGATACCCCACACAGTTTGCCACACTCCACTTTCTCGAACAGCCCAAGTCTTACTCAGAGAAAATGGGTTGTCAATCAGGACCAGTATGTGGTTGCGGGAATGCAGCTTGGAGGAGACGAAGCTCTGTGCTTTCCAGGAAGCAATTTGTCCTCTCCCCCCCCCGCGCGTCTCATCATCCCTGTCCTGCAAGTGATCTGGCTGTTGCAAACCCCCTATGGATAGAGTCAAAGCACAAGCCCATGACATTGCTTCAGGGACTCCTTTGGGGGATAATTCTTCTGCCGTGCTATTCTGTTAAGGTGCAGGTAAAGTTCAGTTAGCATGTGCTCGACATAACATTTGCTCTGTTCACTGTGAAGGGTTGGTCACTGCCACCATCCCTTGCTTTGAAGAGTGCGACGGATCGGTGCCCTGTGCTCATCCGTGTCATCTACTGTTTAGCTGGCCGATGTGTCGGCGTGGTATTGAGACGCCTTGTCGGGGGTTGTGAACGCCCATCATCCTTTTTTCGGGCATGCCAGCAGCATGCCATGTGTCGTTCATGTTTTCATGAGGCAATCATAGACAGTATGTGTTTCTGCTGTGTGGACTACTCTTGATGCTATCGTCCTCCACACCCAAATTGCTCATGCCCCACATACGAATATGCCGGGCTTCCTCCAATGATGCTGGGTGATGCACTGATATTGGAACCCTAACTGCAGCCGCAGTGGGTACGGGAGATGCCTGAAATTCCGCATGGAGAGGAGCTGAAAGCACAACTGCTGCCACCCTCATGTTACGCACTGCTAAGTCTGGCGAAGTCTATGGCCTCCGCTCTGCGTCGTGTAAAGGGTTGTTTCGTATGTGGCTGATCTGAGTGATCCGCCAGCTTGTAAAACCGCTATGGTAGCCAATGTCTATTACTTGAATGGTAGAAACACTTAGACCAAATGTTTCGTAGTTTTGTTTAAAAGATGGTCAGCAAAAGCAAGAAACAATGCAATCAATTGTGGATGTTGATGAATGGCCTTGCTGTTGCGGGCTGCCTGATCTAACTGCTCCTCAATGGTTTTTGCCATGCAGGCAGCAGCAGGCAATCTTTCAAAGTCCTTGTCGCTCTGTGAGACGTTTTGGAAAGTTTGAAGGTGTTGAAAAATGCGATCTGTAATTGCTTGCTGACACTGTGATCAAATAAATGTGTGTTGTCTTCAGTGGAAGGGGCTGTCTTCGGTCTGGGGCTGCGTTGAGGTTGGCGGGTGACCCTGCCAAGCTTTGCTCTCGGCCATGGTGTATCGTCGCAAAGGGCCGTCTTCCGCTATCGCTCCGAGCAACATCTTTTTCAAGATAGTGATTGGTCAGTAGGCAGGTTATGTGAGAAGGGGTGTGAGCGTGTGCGAGGGAGAGGGTTAAGCATGGAGTGACTGGTTGATGTTTGGATAAACTTCTCCTCTGTGGAGTGAAGTGTCGATTCTCTTGTGGGGGTGAGAAGTGGTCCCATGGGGTGTCGTTGCAAAGAGCCTTTTTCCGCTATCGCTCCGAGCAACATGTTTGTCGAGGTAGCGATTGGTCAGTAGGCAGGTGGTCAGTCTTATGTGAGAAGGGGTGTGAGCGTGTGCATGTGCGAGGGAGAGGGTTAAACATGGAGTGACTGGTTGATGTTTGGATAAACTTCTCCTCCGTGGAGTGAGGTATCATTCTCTTCCGGGGTGGGAAGTGGTGGGCATAATGGCAATGGGCAAGCGGCTAGAGGATGGTTCAGAACCTCTCTTGAAAGAAGGGGAGAAGGAGGAGAGCACACTTAAAGAACTGGAAGAAGGTATGGTGAAGTCTGGTGGTGATGACACAGTTTCGGGTGGCGGAAAGGGGGATAGTAGGGACACCCATGTGTACAGAGTGAGTTACCGTAGACTTTTCCAGTTGGCGAAGCCTGAGCTGTTGGTGCTTTGCTTTGCGGTTGTGGCACTGTTTGTCTCTGCGGTGGCAAATCTTGCTCTCCCAACCTTTGCTGGGGATGTGATAGATGCAGTGACAAGGCACCCTGACACACCTGAAGGTAAAGCAGCTACCTATGTAAAGGTGAACCAAAAACTTGTGCAAATTGTTGCAGTGGTGATTGTGGGCTCTATCGCGACCTCCATGCGTGTGTACCTCTTCACCTCTGCAAGTGAGAGGGTCGTAGCGCGCCTGAAGAGGGATCTCTTTGGAAGCCTTGTGCGCCAGGAGGTGGCCTTCTTTGATGTAACACGAACCGGCGAGTTGATGAGTCGGCTGTCGGAGGACACACAGATCATAAAAAATGCGGTGACGTTGAACCTCTCAGAACTGCTGAGGGGGATCTCCACTGCTCTTCTGGGGTTGAGTTATATGTTTGTCAAGTCGTGGAGGCTGACGTGTTTGACGCTCGTGATTGTTCCGGCCGTTGCCATTGGCATTCGGCAGTATGGGAAGTATCTGAAAGAGCTATCCAGGAAGACGCAGGCGGCATCGGCAGCGGCTGCGGCTGTGGCAGAGGAGTGCATTGGGGCGATCCGTACAGTGCGGGCATTTGCGCAGGAGGGCAGTGAAAGCGAGAGATACAGGGAGAAGGTGGAAGTCAGCCTGACTCTGGGACTTCACCAGGCCTGCGTCGGCGGCTTGTTCAGCGGAGGCATGTTTGCGGCAGCTACATTGTCGCTCGTCGCGGTGATGTGGTATGGTGCCCACCTTGCCGTTTCTGGTGGCATGAGCCCTGGTAGTCTTGCATCTTTCATCATCTACGCCCTCACCGTTGGGTTTTCGGTGGCCTCCCTGGCAGGAATTTATGCCACGGTGATGAAGGCCTTGGGAGCGGGAGAGAGAGTGTTTCATCTTCTGGACCGCGAACCAAGTATGGTGAAGGCAGGAAGCAAGAGACCCATGGGAGACGAAGCTGGGGGAGAAGTGCGGCTTCAGAAGGTCTGGTTTGCATACCCCTCCAGGCCCAGCCGATGGGTTCTTAAGGGGGTCAATTTGACCCTCCTCCCCGGGTCCAAACTGGCACTCGTTGGTCCTTCTGGTGGTGGCAAGTCGACGATCGCGAACTTAGTTGAGCGGTTCTATGATCCTCAGACAGGGGTCATCACGCTGGATGGCTGCCCCTTGCCGGAGATTTCTCACGACTATCTGCACCGCCAGATCAGCATTGTGAGTCAAGAGCCTGTCCTGTTCAACACCACCATAGCTGAGAACATTGCTTACGGATCTGAGCCCTCCGCATCCTCGGCAACGGCTATTCAGCTGGCGGCAACGATGGCAAATGCGCACGAGTTCATTTCGCAATTCCCGGAAGGTTATGAGAACCTGGTTGGGGAGAGGGGAGTGCGGCTCTCGGGCGGGCAGAAGCAGCGCATTGCGATTGCACGCGCCTTGCTGATGAGTCCACGTGTGCTTCTGCTGGATGAGGCCACGAGTGCTCTGGATGCTGAGAGTGAGTATCTGGTCCAAGATGCCATGGACAGACTGATGGTCGGACGGACCACGCTCGTTATAGCTCATCGACTGTCGACGGTGCAGAGTGCACATGTTGTGGCAGTCGTTGATAAGGGAGTGATTGTGGAGAGAGGCTCGCATGCAGAGCTGCTGGAGAGGAATGGGATCTATGCAGGATTGGTGCGACGACAGCTGCAGGGAGGGACCGGCCTTGGGGGGACTGCCCAGAACGCGAACGGTGGTGCTACCCTGGGAGAGGTGCTGGAGACGCACTCAGCTGAGTTCGGAGTCCATTGCATTACGGAAGAGGTCCCGGTCAACAATGAGGTTGACGATTTGAGTTAGCGACAACATTATTACAAATTCGATTCTATCTCTCAGTGTGTGAAGTTTGCCAAACTGTCTCTTGCAACACCCTTCTCATTGGGCAATGCATTATTTTTCTTGTGTATATGTAGTCAAACAGAGCTGCCGACGGTAAACCGTAGGCAGAGAGAGGGAGGGAGAAGACAAAAAACTAGGGGCTGTGACAGAAACAGTTTCGTCAGAGTTTCACCGATGCATTAGGAGGGGTATATCATCATACAATTATATGCATATTGCCATATTCTACAATGAAGAGCTTGTATTATCCGGGTAGATACTGAGTTGTTACGTAAGTAATGACAAGCATCGTGTTTTCGGACCCACTGGAAAACCGAGAGCCTGATTAACCGGGTACTAGATACTGAGTTGTTAAGTAAGTAGATACTTCTTGCTGCGGGCACAATTGCTATCACGAATTACGGTTAAATAATAATAATGATGAGCATCGTCATCGTATTCTGAATGTCACTTTTCACTGATGGCATGGCACTATCTCTGCAGTCTCTGTCTGCTGCAATGCAAACTAGACAAGAAGGCGTAGTTGGGTACGACCAGACAGGCAGTTGAGCTCAGGAATAACTGACACATCCTCCTCGAGTCGCTCTCACAGTCCAGATTCCGCTAAAACGCGGGTGCAATGAACTGCTTTCTTCGTCTTCTCTTCTTCTTCAAAAGTGAGAAGCCTTGCAGGGGTTGTGAAAGGAAGAAGGAAAATGGAAAAGAGCTGCAGCGAGGGAAGAGGCAACTGAGACGGAAACGACAGTTTTCCGGACCGTCTCAGAATATCATCTGGAGAAGCGATTGAAAGGTGTCTGTCTGCTATGTGCGCGCACCGCAGCGATTGATGGAGACGGTCTCAGTGGCTGGCTCCTCTGCTGGACGCTGCAGGGTGTCCGCACACTGAAGCTTTCTGTGACGTATCTAATAACTGCAGATAAGGCCAGATGCAATCCATAGAGTAGTAGTGTGACTATTTTTTCAATCCTCGAGTCCTCGTTCGTGTACTCCAGTCCTTCCTGCCTATTTCCTGCCTCCAGGGAGACGAGAGGGCGGTGTGTCACAGCCTCTCATGAGCGATACGCCCCCCTTAAGTAAGGCTTCGGCCCGATCCTTGTTCCTGGCTCTGCCTTCCGAGTGACCAGGTTCATCTGTTGGTAGGTGGAAGCTTCGCTCCCGCAGCAAGGCACTGTTTTTTTCAATCTGCCAGCCAGGCAAGACTGCGTGCGCATGGCATTGGAAAACATGGATGGGCTGTCAGTTGACCGGAAGCTCAAGGAGCTGTGCTCTCTCCTGCATGGGCTTACTTGTCGTCTCTCATTGGTGCCTAGCCTTGCTAGACCTGATCTGGCCACTGATTGGTTTGGAATCTTTTGGATAAGAAGGGCTAGTTCTGCGCAGACTCGAGAAGCACTTTCGTTCTTTTCGCAGTTGTTGGTGATGCTCGGTTTCCTGGGAAGGAGGCTGTGTAGTGGTTGGCGCGCATGCTGAAAGCATGTCGGCACACGGGGAACGTCTTAGACATTGCTTCCATTCTGCTGTGCCAGCATTGGCTTAACCTGTGGTTAGCTGCGAGCAGGTTGAGGTTACCCCACAGTTAACTGCATGCTGGGAGGCATTGAGAGGAGGATAGTTAACCTGTGGTTGACTGCAAGCAGGCTGGGGTTAACCCGCCGCCGTTAACTTCATGCTGGGAGACATTGAGAGGTTAACTTGCGGTTGCTGGCAAGCAGAGAGACGGTAACCTGAAGCAGCGATGGGTGGTTATCCTGTGGTTAAAGCAAGCATTTCTTCTTGAGGGACTAGCATGTCTTTAACTGCATGTTGGGAGAGTTTGACTTGTGGAGGTTAACTTGTGGTTGATGGAAAGCGGATGGATGTTAATTGAAGCAGCGATGTGAGGTTATGTTAGCCTATCTTCAACTACGCGTTGGGGGAAGTTAACTTGTGGAGGTCAAGACGCGGAGCGGCGGAGGTCGACCTGCCGTTGCAGAGAGATGGTAACCTGAAGCAGTGATGGCAGGATATTATCCTGTGGTTAAAACAAACATTTTTTGAGGGATTAACCCGTGTTTAACTTTACACAGGGGGGGGGGGGTTAAACCACGGTTGACTGTGCGAAAGGTTCACCTGCGAAAAGGTGCAGGCAGCAAGGGTATATGTATGTTCACACCTGAATGGGTGCCATGTACATACATCTGGCTCACCTGAATGGATTTTCCATTGTGGTCAGGTGCACATGGCAGCCAGGTGCAGCAGCTTGTGCCTGCCTGACATCTTCCATGACTGACTGCTAGGTTATTAGTCTGTTTTCTTTCAGTGACAGGTTTGGGATGCTCCATAGTGCCAAATTTCAAGGTTCACACCTGTCTTGAGGAGTAATGGAGGGGTTTTGAACTGCCCTCCTCCCCTCCCCCTCCTCCTCCTCCCCCTTTTTCCTGTCTTGAGAAACGGAGGGAGGGAGGGAGGGAGGGAGGGAGGGAGGGAGGTGGTGGGGATAGTTTTAACATCTTTCCAGATGTGTGAATCTGCTGGTTGAGATGTTGGGAGGTGTAGGTGTGGGTGTGGCTCACATATATTGAGAGTTTCAACAATTTTCAATTTTCAGTTTTGCCCTGTAAAATTAATTTGAATTTTGAATTTTGAATTTTGAATTCTTCAGGGGGTTGTTTACCAATCAGTACCCCCCTTCAGGGGGGGTGTTTTACCAATCAAGACGCCGGTGCTAGTTGGTGCCTGCCAGGTGTCGTCTTGTTTCAACAACGTCCGCAGTCCTTTTTCCTTTCAGAAGGATGTCCACTGTCCTATCGAGGATCTGGTTCACCTTTGTAAGATAGCAGCTGCTGCTGTACGCCGTAACACATGACATGCTCTTTTTTTTGTTGCGATTAAGCAAGTAGATTGTTTTTTTTTTTTTTTTTTTTTTTTTTTTTTTTTTTTTTTTTTTTTTTTTTTTTTTTTTTTTTTTTTTTTTTTTTTTT